AAGCTACAGACAGAAGCTCCCTTCAAATCTGTTGAGGATGTATTATATGGTAAGTGTTACAGTAGCAATCACTGGAAAGGCATATCCTCCTCTATAAATCAAGAAATTGACACACTGACTTGTCAATCATTCAATTAATCAATCTGGTGTAATTCTGGTTAACACGTATCAATTAGTTCCCTAAATTTTCTTTTTTTAAAGTAATCTCTACACCCAGTGTGGGGCTTGAACTCACAACCCCGAGATCAAGAGTCGCATGCTCTACCGACTGAGCCAACCAGGCACCCCAGTTCCTAAATTTTTATCAACCCTTTGCACTCCTAAAGAACTGACTTGCCAGATCCATGAAGCTAAGAACCAGACACTGTGATAATACTAACACACTGTCACTTGTGAATCCCTGTCCAAGGAGCTAGCCTTTCTTTCTCTTGCATCTCTCTTTAAATACCACATATTTTTATTTTTTTTATTTATTTTTTTACTATGTTATATTAATCACCATACATTACATCATTAGTTTTTGATGTAGCGATCCATGATTCACTGTTTGTGTACAACACCCAGTGCTCCATGCAGTACGTCCCTCCTTAATACCCATCACCAGGCTAACCCATCCCCCACCCCCCTCCCCTCTAGAACCCTCAGTTTGTTTCTCCCAGTCCATAGTCTCTCATGGTTTGTCTCCCCCTATGATTCCCCCCTTCATTTTTCCCTTCCTGCTATCTTCTTTTTTTTTAACATATAATTTATTATTTGTTTCAGAGGTGCAGGTCTGTGATTCAACAGTCTCACACAATTCACAGCGCTCACCATAGCACATACCCTCCCCAATGTCTATCACCCAGCCGCCCCATCCCTCCCACCCCAATATCACATATTTTTAAATACAACATGGTTATCTTTAATATGGCTTATTTAACCTTGTAATACAAAAGGTACTCAATGAACTTGAAAATGTATCACTTTGTTAGTATAATGAAATACATTTTTAAAATCATATTTATAGCCAGTGTATCCATACAGCTCTTCAGAAGAATTTATTGCAGTGCCTACTGCAAGGTACGTCCCAAAACCTGGTCACCATAAGTGATGGAGAGTATAAATTTGCAAGTTTACTAGACTGGCTTTCTAAGGTGTATCTCTGAAAACTGAGGACTGAATTGGCCAAAGTATGATGCTAATATTTAAAATATTCTACATTTCCTGTATCACATTCGCACAGAGCTGGAACATTAAGAGCAATGGGAAACCTTAAGAGCACTGGCTTTGGAGGCAGACAGAACTTGACTGTGTCCGTTCCAGCACTATTGGTCAAGAGCTGTGCCCCATTATCCCATCTATAAAACCAGGATAGTGGCAGCAGTTCTACAGTCATGAAGATTCAAATCATGAACATACCTAACATGGGTTTTATAGCTGGCGTCTATTATTATTCTGCCTTAAGGGAGACAGGTCAGGAAAGAACAAACTCGGGATCAGAAAGGGACAAGTAAAGATTAGTTCCTGGAAGCAGTGAGTCAGACCACCTGAGTCAGATCCAACCTGTGAGCCCAGTTCCAATATCACCTCTACCATAAAAACTTCCTCAATCACCCCACTGATTATTTAAACTTCAAAAACATTATCAGAATAACGGATGCTTTTATTCCAAAAAAAAACAGCTTCTATTTATTTACATCTTTGACTTGGCTACAAACAGGGACTCCCCGGGCAGGATATCCCACCCATCTCGTTATTTCTGTAGCACACTCAGCACCCATCTCATGAGGGTGGGACATACCCAATAATGTGCAATAAAATGAATCACCGTCTATACCAGAAACGCACGCTACCAACCTCTTTTCCCATACCCACTGTAGGCAATAATAATCGAATCAAGCATTCTTTCTCATTGAGCCCTGGATACAGCCTCAGAACCCTTCTCAACACACCACTCCAAAAAACCATTACCAGTAGATCTGAGCTGGCAAACAAGATAAATCCAGTTATCATCCTTGGTCTGTACTATTCATCTGACTCCATTTAGGCCGCCATGGAAAAGAGTGAAGGAATCATGTTCATTCGTTCACTCATTCAACAAATACTTATTGAGCCCAGACTCTGTTTTAAGTTATAAGTGTAAACAAGACACCTTATAGAACTGAAAGTCTGGAGTGAAAAAAATGTCCTCTATGTGGAGGTAATGGGAGATTAGGCATGAAGAATCGAGAGCTATGGCAGACCCCAATAGCCACTTCCCCATTTCTCTGTTAATAAAACCTCCAATGTGTTCAGAAACTAAGTGCCCTGTGCCTTATGGACTTCTCCCCCAGCCACGACAGTACATACAGACTAATCTACCACTCATGGCTATTCCATCCCCCTTGCCCGTGAGGGACCCGCCCCTGACCAACAAGGGCGAGAGAGCTCCTGAGAAAGTTTGTCCTGCTCTTAAAGAGGGACATGAAACAGGATCTCTGGATATGATAGTGTGAGGACATGATTTTGAACCGACTATGGAGAACCTGGACACTGGAGAGGAAAACCAGGAAATTCACAGAGAAGCTGATTTTGAGTCCTAGCATCCCTGAACTACTATACCATAACTGTCATGCCTTAGGGCTCCTTATGAAATAAGTTATTTGCCTCCTTATTTAAGCCATGTTTAAAACCGGATATTGTCTTTGTCTGGGCTACTCTAACAAAATAACATACACCAGGTATAAACAGGAATTTGTGTCTCACAGTTCTGGAGCCTAGAAGTCCAAGATCAGGGTGCCAGCAGGGTAGGTGCTGGTGACAGCCCTCTTCCGGGGTCTGGCCACCTTCTTGCTGTGTCCTTACATGGCAGAAGGGGCAAGGGAGTTCTCTGGGGCACCTTTTATAGGGCATAAAGACCATTCAATGAAGCCTCTGCCCTCATGACCTTATCACCTCCCAAAGATCCTGCCTTCTAATACCCAGTATCTTTGGGGGTTAGGATTTCAACATATGAATTTGGGGGCCACACAAACACTTGGAGCACAGCAGATATTCTATTACTTGAGACCAAAATCACCCCAACTGACCTAGGGAGCAAACACAGGGAGTGCTGGATGGCAGGTTAAGGAAATAAAAGGCCACATTCACTTCATGGGAGATGAAACTGAAGAAATTATATTCAGAGGCTTGGTCTGCCTTTTTTTTTTTTTTTTAAGATTTTATTTATTTATTTGACAGAGAGAGACACAGCAAGAGAGAACACAACCAGGGGGAGTGGGAGAGGGAGAAGCAGGCTTCCCACGGAGCAGGGAGCCTGATGCGGGGCTTGATCCCAGGACCCTGAGATCATGACCTGAGCTGAAGGCAGATGCTTAACGACTGAGCCACCCAGGTGCCCCCTTGGTCTGTCTTTTAATTTCTTTGTTGTAACAACTAACTTGGAAACCTAGAGGAAAGCATTTAATTAAGAATTTCACTTTCTGAGATACAGACCCTAATACATTAGTGTTGAGAGCATAAACTGGTACAATGGTTAGTGAAAGCTATTTGGCAATGCTGGTCAAATGTCTTTTTTTTTTTTTTAAGATTTTATTTATTTATTTGAGAGAAAGAGCGGGGACAGGAGCAGGGGAAAGGGCAGAGGGAGAGGCAGAAGCAGACCCCTGCTGAGCAGGGAGCCTGATGCAGGGCTGGATCCCAGGACCCTGGGATCATGACCTAAACTGAAGGCACATGCTTAACTGACAGCCACCCAGGCATCCCCTGGTCAAGAGTCTTAAAAAATTTTTATAACCTTTGCCCTGTGACTAGGGCCTGGGATTCTTATTGCATAGAAATAATCTCAGTGTTCCATGCAAAAATATGTTCACTGAAAAGTTACTTTTCAGTAAAGCTGTAAATGACCTAAATGTCCAAAAACTATGAAATTAGATCAGTAGTAACAAGTACATAAACATGAAAATTAAGCAGTTATTAAAAACAATTTAAAAAACTTTCCATTTTAAAAACATGGAAAAATTATGCTATGGTTTCAATGATAAAAGAATAAAAAATCATACATGTAATATGCTCTTAACTTAGACTAAAAACATATTTAAAAAGACTAGAGAAGATGTGCCAATATTTGAACAGCATTTGCTTTTAAGGTGGTGGAACTATAAGTGATTTTTTTCAGCTTCTTTATATTTTCTGTGGTTTTCAAGTTTACCATAATGAGGAAGTATTACTTTGATAATTAAAAATGAGGTGGGGGCAATTTTACACATGATGGAATTTCTAAGCATTCATATTGCTCCCACTCCCTACCATTTCAGAATTTATCTTACCAAACAAAACCAAGTCATACATATTCCCAGAGTCTACGCTAAGGAAAGATGCTTAATCGATCTATCTCAATATCTACAAATAACAAGTAGTAGTTCACTACTGGTCCACTCACAATAAAAAGAATATTCAGTAACTCTAATTCATTAACTCCACTCTACTTATCTGTAACTATAATACTGTATTCTTTGATGCAGGGAAATATTCCATACGGAGCTAAAATGTTCACATACTAATAGATGCAGTTATGGTACTCTATAAATAATATTTTAAATACACACTCATTCACCTGTTACTATCTGAACTCAGGGAGAAATTACTGATAGAAACCAACCTGGATTACTCTGGCCTGAACTCAGATCATGTAGGACTTTAATTGCTGAACAAATGAAAACCATTAGGATGTCCTGATCCAAGGCCGTGAGTCCTATTGCTGATATGAAATCTAGAATAGGATTGTGCTGTTATCTGTAGGGTAACTTGCTCTTTTGATCAATAAGTGATGACTGATACTGTGACTAGTGAGTCTAGATTTTAATCACTTGGAGGTTGTTTTGTTCTCTAAAGTCACACCAACCAAAATTGTTAACTAATATCCGCTTAGATTAGGTTAAATGACATTATTTTTGGGTAAATTAAAGCTCCATAGGGTCTTCTCATCTTATTTTTTTATTCGCCCACTCTTCACTGGAAGGTCAAACAGATTAAGATAGCAAGTGTTGTATGAACTGAGAGGTTAGCACTCCCCTTTACAAGGATGGAAGAGACTCTCAGGCCTAACAACACACATATGGTTAAGGCACTGCCACCTACTTTGAGGCATCTAACCATCTTTTTTCAAGAAACAGACTCTTAACAATAGAGAACGAACTGATGGTTACCAGAGGGGAGGTGGGTGAGGGATGGGTGAACTAGGTGATGGGGATTAAGGAGCGCACTTGTCATGATGGGCACCGGGTGATGTATGGAAGTGTTGAATCGCTATACTATATACCTAAAACTAATATTACACTGTATGTTAACTGGAATTCGAATAAAAACTTTAAAAAAAATAAATATTCATAAATAAAATAATAAAACAATATAAAATAAAATACCATTGACTCTAAGAAAAAAAAGATTAGGATAGCAAGGAATATACTAAGAGGGATACACAACCAAGCCCACACACAAAACACAAACACTGAGCTTTAAAAACACACATTTAGGGGCACCTGGCTGGCTCAGTCGGTGGAGCACAGGACTCTTGATCTCAGGGTTTTAAGTTCGAGTAAGTAGAGATTACTTAAAAATAAAATCTTTAAAAGAAAAAAAGAAGATGCATTTGAAGAAAGCTACTTAGCAATGAAACACAGCAACACAGATGAATCCCAAAAGCATTATGTGAAGTTAAAGCAGCCAGACACAAAAGAACACATACTATACAATTTCACTTAACATGAAGTCCTAGAACTGGCAGAACTAAGGTATGGAGATATAAATCAGATCAGTGTTTGTCTGGGGTGGGGCGGGGGGAGGCAGGCAGCATCGGCCAAAAAGGTGCAGCAGGGATTTTCCTGGGGAATGGAAATGTTTGGTATTTTTCATGGAAGAGGTGATGAAACAGGTGTATGTATTTATCAAAACTCACCAAATGTTACACTCAGGATCTGTGCATTTTGTAAATGTCCCTCATTTAAATTACACCTATAATTTTCAAGTTTTTAACCAAAAAAGGAATCCAATCTAAAACTACTACCCTTTTCAGGGATGCCTGGGTGGCTCAGTCGGTTAAGCGTCTGCCTTTGGCTCAGGTCATGATCCCGGGGTCCTGGGATCGAGTCCCACATCGGGCTCCTTGCTCAGTGGGGAGCCTGTTTCTCCCTCTGCCTGCCACTCCCCCTGCTTGTGCTTGCTCTCGTTCACGCTTATTAATAAAATCTTAAATTAATTAATTAATTATAAAAAATTACTACCCTTTTCAAATCAAAGGCTTTTCTCAGCCTGAGCAAATGACATCTTCATTCATCTAGCTGTTCAGCCGGAAATGAGAGGGTGATACTTACCACCTCCTTCTCTGTCACCAAGTTCTGAAGGTGCAGCTCCAAGACATCTCAAATCCATTCACTTCTCCCCCTCCAGGGTCACCACCATAGGTCAAGCCACTGTCAGTTCACATTGGATCCAATGCAGTATCCCCCTACCTGGTCTTCAATATCTACATGGCAACCAGTCCTAGTTCAAAACCTGAAATCTGCTCAAGTCACTCTCTTGCTCAGAGCTCTTCAATGCACTCCCACTGACCTCAGAATAAATTCTACGATCTTTAACAGAACTCCCACACACCCTCTTACCACCTCCCCCATGGCAGCAACCAACTCTTCACCATTCAGCCCTCCACACTCCAGCCACATGACCCCCTTGTAGTGTCCTGCAGGTCAAGACCTTCTATGCCTCAGAGCCCTCCTTAATGCTGTTCCCTCAGCCTGAAGATTCCTCCCTCCACCCATCACCTGACTACCTTCCACCCAAACTTCCTGTCTCAGAGAAGCTTTTAAGTTACTTCTTCCGGGTATTCCCTGCAATCCTTAGCCAGCCCACCCCCAGTGATTTAATGTCTCATCACAATTTTCACTTATACCTTTACTGGTGTGCTTGTTTAATATTCAGACTGAGATCCATGATGATGGTGAGTGCAGTTAATGTTTCCTAATTGTATACAATAACAGTATTGGGTGAGACATTTTACACATGATCTCTTTTCATCTATGTAACAACCCAAGGTAAGTTCTAGGACATCAGTCACCCCATTTACAGACAGACAGAGAAAATGAGGCATAGAACACGAGAAATTACAAAGATATGATCTGACAGTAGGCAGTGGAACTGGAGGACCAGCACTATGCTGTATCAACTCCCACAAAATAGGAAGCTGAACCATCAACTCCAAAAGGGCTGGGTCCCTCTCTGATCGGTACATCCCTGTGAAGCAGAGCGCCCCACAGAGCTGTTCAACAGTATTTAACAGGACCGGCCACAAGCTCCCACAAACATCTGGCCAATGAAAACCACCACAGGGGCTCTTCAGTATGCTTACAGTACTTTCTAATGTTAGAAATTATTTTCTTTATAGACCCATTTATATGACCTCATTATTGTTCTATATTTGAGAATAAAATTATGTCTTTAAGTATCCCAAAGTTGAGTCTTGGCTGACTATTCTGTTTACTTATCCTGCAATTATTCCAAGTTAATGAGGCTCTCCATTAATAATTTTCAAGTTATTATGAGGCTGAGAATACCAAAAACAGAAATATAATCCAGAAAGCTACACAGAAAATGCATGACAAGAAAAGGGGGGAGGGTTTTAAAATTAGCGTTACTGTGGAGCACCTGGGTGGTTCAGTTGGTTAAGCATCTGACTCTTGATTTCAGCTCAGGTCATGATTTCAGGGTTGTGAGATCAAGGCCCACATCAGGCTCTCTGCTCAACGTGAAGTCTGTTTAAGACTCTCTCCCCCTCTCCCTCTGCCCCCCCACTCACGCACTCTCTCTCTAAAATAAAAATACATCTTTAAAAAAATTAGTGTTATTGAAAACACATACAATTCTAATTACATTTCTAAGTTCCTTCATCCAACAAATGTCTATCAGGCACCTCTTATGTGTCAGGCACTGCTCCAAAAGCTAGGAACAAAACTGTCTAAGTCCCAGTTTCATGAAGCCGGCATTCTAATACCTGGACAGTTATGGGAATTATGTCAGATGGAAAGAAGTATTATTAAGAAAAATGAAGTGAGGCAAGGGGGTGAAGAGTACAGCACCAAAATGTGCCCACTCATACCACGGAGCAGTATTCAGCTAAAAGGAAGGAAACTGACACACGCCACAACATGGACAAACCCCAATGATATCATGCTGGTGAAATAAAGCTGGTCATAAAAGGACAAATACTGCACACTTCCACTCATATGAGGTACTAAGAGTACTCAAAATCACAGGCACAGAAAGTAGAACGGTGGTGGCCAGGGGCTAGGGGGAGGAGGAATGGGGAGCCAGTGTTTCCATGGGGACCGAGTTTCAGCTTCACAAGATGAACAGAGTTCTGGAGGTGGACGGTGGTGATGGTTGCACAACATTATAAATGTACTTAGTACCACTGAGCTGTACACTTAAAAGGTAATGAAGATAGTAAATCTTGCACTATGTGTATTTTACCATAATAAAAAATTTTTCTAGTAATTCCAAGGGAAAATGATTTCCAACCTAGAATCCTACAAAAATGGAGTACAGTACAGCAAGGGTTCCTGTTAGGCTATTTTAGAAAGGCACGTGAGGGATGAGCACTTAGGTGACATGAACTCTGAGCAGAAACCTGAATGAAAAAATAGGAACTTCATTAAATTCTATGATTCTTAAACTTCTTCAAGTTTGCACTAAAAAGACTGAAGCATAGCAATGTTTTCCCTTTATGAACAGAGGAACTACATGAACAGAGAAGGCAGAGGTAGGGTTAACCACGGGGAAGAAAAAGTTAAGGAATTACATAATACACCTAGTGAAGCTGTCTGTAACGGACAATTAATTTTTATCTTAAAAGCTGAAGTATTTTGGGGCACCTGGCTGGCTCGGTCAGAAGACCATGCAACTTTTGATCTCAGGGTCATGAGTTTGAGCCCCACACTGGGTACAGAGATTACTTAAATAAACTTAAAAAAAAAGGTGAAGGATCTCAAAGGATCATACCATGCCCTCCTCCCCCTGCCACCCTCTCCCTACCTCCAGACAGTAGAGTTATTATCATACCTATTTTCTCAAGGAAAAGATGACAGGAACTGCCCAATTTCATAACCAGTGACTACGAGAGGAGGAAGTACCCAATTCTGAATCTTATAAATTCAGCATTGACAAGAAATAGAGGACAAAGATCAGGACATAATTTTAGCTAGGAAAAAAAACGGGAGAAAATGGGGGGCGCCTGGGTGGCTCAGTCGTTAAGTGTCTGCCTTCTGCTCAGGTCATGATTCTGGGGTCCTGGGATCGAGCCCTGCATCGGGCTCCCTGCTCAGTGGGAAGCCTACTTCTCCCTCTCCCACTCCCCCTGCTTGTGTTCCCTCTCTCACTGTGTCTCTCTGTCAAATAAATATTTAAAAAAAAAACGGGAGAGAATGGTTCCAAAGCTAATGTATTTATTTTACATGGTAATCACTGAGATTCAATCATCACAACATTTCTTCATGATAAAGTTTCAAGAATTTTTTCTGGTATACTTTACCTTCCTGAAACCACCAGAGTTCCATCGTCGAGTAAATAATCCTTCACATTCTGAGGAAGTGGAAGAATGACACTTAAAAAAAAAAAAAAAA